CAGTACGGTGACAAGTGTTCTGGCCGACGAAAATGCGCGCCAGTCCGTCCGATGGCCGACGAAAATGCGCGTCAGTCCGTCCGATGGCCGACGGTTCTGACCGTACGGTCGATCATAATTTTTTTTTCGATTTTTTTCATTTTCTCCCACTCTGAAAACCTTCTAACCACGATTTTAAGAGTTTTTATCGTGGAAAATCTGAAAACGGACGGAGAAAAATCGAATCAGTACGGTGACATGTGTTCTGGCCGACGAAAATGCGCGCCAGTCCGTCCGATGGCCGACGAAAATGCGCGTCAGTCCGTCCGATGGCCGACGGTTCTGACCGTACGGTCGATCATAATTTTTTTTTCGATTTTTTCATTTTCTCCCACTCTGAAAACCTTCTAACCACGATCTTAAGAGTTTTTATCGTGGAAAATCTGAAAACGGACGGAGAAAAATCGAATCAGTACGGTGACATGTGTTCTGGCCGACGAAAATGCGCGCCAGTCCGTCCGATGGCCGACGGTTCCGACCGTACGGTCGATCAAAATTTGTTTTTCGATTTTTTTCATTTTCTCCCACTCTGAAAACCTTCTAACCACGATTTTAAGAGTTTTTATCGTGGAAAATCTGAAAACGGACCGAGAAAAATCGAATCAGTACGGTTACATGAGTTCTGGCCGACGAAAATGCGCGCCAGTCCGTCCGATGGCCGACGAAAATGCGCGCCAGTCCGTCAGATGGCCGACGAAAATGCGCGCCAGTCCGTCCGATGGCCGACGGTTCCGACCGTACGGTCGACCAAATATTTTTTTCTCGATCTTTTCATTTTCTCCCACTCTGAAAACCTTCTAACCACGATTTTGAGAGTTTTTATCGTGGAAAATCTGAAAACGGCCGGAGAAAAATCGAATCAGTACGGTGACAAGTGTTCTGGCCGACGAAAATGCGCGCCAGCCCGTCCGATGGCCGACGATTCCGACCGTACGGTCGACCAAAATTGTTTTTTCGATTTTTTCATTTCCACCCACTCTGACAACCTTGTAACCACGATATTACGAGGCTCGGGCGTGGAAAATCGGGAAACGACCGACCGAAAATCGAATCCGACCGGTGAAATGCGTTTTGGCCGAGAAATCATGCACGCCAGTCCGTCCGATGGCCGACGGTTCCGACCGTACGGTCGACCAAATATTTTTTTCTCGATCTTTTCAGTTCTGGCCACTCTGGAAACCTTCCAATCACGATTTTGGCAGGTTTGAATGTGGAAACTCGACAAATGATCGACCATTTTTCAAATCCGAACGGTCCCTTAGTTTTTCTCCGCCGAGAGAACCATGCCCGCCAGTCAACGGACGGTGGTGCACCACCGATCCCACGATCGCAACCCTTCCCATCCCGCTGTACGACCCATCCCAAGACCAGCCCATTAAGGAAAGGCATAAATCGTAATATGTCCAAAAGTGTGTTTATGAGTTGTAATTTTTTAAAAGCCACTTAAGGAAAGCTTGTTCTTCATCCTTCCTTCCTCCCTTCCTCCCCACGTCCTGAAATAGGATAGTGAATGGGATCTGCCGAATTTCAAAAGGCGTTAACTTTTGCTAGAGTTATCCGTTTCTGGATTTTTTTTTTTTGATCCGCTCGATTTTTCGAGGCCTAGGGTGGGCGGCTGCGCAGCGGCCGTCGGCCTCTTTTTGCCATTCGGATTTTTATTTGTGTGTTTTTGGCCATTTTTATGTTTTAAGTGGCGATTTCATGTACCATTCTCTCATGAATTGGGGATTTGAACACATCAGTGTTCTTATATATTTCTATAGTTTCATGCCCATGTGATCGGATCTCCATATACTCGACTATTTTTATGTCCACGGATTGCTTTGTGTAACTCTTAAGTTTGAGCATCTACGTAGGTTTGTGGTTTATTACTACGTTCCTTAGTCACGCAACCCGAGTTCGACTCCACCGGTCTTGCATCCCCTTTCTTATTTTTAGCTCTTTTGTATTCTTCAACTCATTCTCAAATTTCCCCGTTTTCTCTGTTTCCACGGCCGATGCATGCATAGAATCGTCCCGGCCAGGCCGGGCCACGGACTTCATGCATTCCAAAATTTTCACTCGAAATTTTTCTAAGTGTTTTTACCGAACCTCTCGGTCTGAGTTTGTAAAGACATGAAAACGTGAGGAATGACTGATTTGATTTTGGGAGGAACATACGAGGAGATACTCGGACTGAGATGGGGAGGGTCGAATCTTAGCGACAAAGGGCTGAATCTCAGTGGATCGTGGCGACAAGGCCACTCTGCCACTTACAATACCCCGTCGCGTATTTAAGTCGTCTGCAAAGGATTCTACCCGCCGCTCGGTGGTAATTATAATTCAAGGCGGTCCGAACGGCGCTTCCGCCGAACGGACTTAGCCAACGACACGTGCCTTTGGGAGCCGAAGCTCCTACTGAGGGTCGGCAATCGGGCGGCGGGCGCATGCGTCGCTTCTAGCCCGGATTCTGACTTAGAGA